TTTGAAAGCGTAGGCTTGGTGTCTTGAGTTTCGACTTGCCAGCAGTGTTCCGGGGTTGCGGGCTTCAGGCTTTGCCGGGCCCCCACCTTGGGGTTTAGGGGTTTAGGGTTTAGGGGTTTAGGGGTTTTGGGTGTAGGATCCAGAGCTTGCACAGTTACTCTAGGGGGCCTGAACAGCCAGCAGTATTGCTGAGTACATCATTATACCACCCAGAGCACAGTCAGGGCCATATGGGGTTCATCAGCTCGCGCTTTTTCCGTGAGGCATGGGAAACAAGGTGTCGCAGAAAAGCATCGTCATGGGAGACGATACCATGTACGACGAGACTTTGGCTGAACAATACCATATGTAACTAGGTTTACATGTACACTGCAGCAAAATGTGAACTAATCTGTTAGTATATAGTTATAGTACAATATGTTCACGGATCGTCGCTATGGTGCACAGTTAATGTGATCCCCATTCTCCTCATTCATGGACCAGGTTGGGATTCAGTATGATCTGTTCAAACTGAAGGCAAACTCTTGGCAGGGACGACATTGACAGATATCCATAAGGGATAGTCAAGGCATGTGAGATTTCCCTCTGCTTCACCACGGAAGGCTTCGTTCAGCTCCATGATGAGCTATATACCTGGTTCTACGTTTTCTGTTCTGACCCATGCATGCCCGATGTGTTATGAAGTTACCCGGCTTACAGCAGTCGGGTAATGTAGAGGCCAGAACAGTTCCTAATAGGATCTAACCCGCCAAAAAAGCGGTCTAATTGCCCAGGCCCCTATACTAAAACCTTAGAAGACCCTCCAAAACAGCTGTAAAGCCCTATTCCAACTACAAAGCCGCAAATACCTCAACAATAAACTCCAACCTAAACCTCAGGGCTTCCTAACGGTGGATTGCTGGACGGAGAAGTGACTTAAAAAAACAAAAAAAATATATATATATATATATAGCGATGTCATGACCGAGGATGACGGCCGGCCCCTTGCCGTGCAACATCGGAGGACTCACGTCCTGAGCCCTGGCGGCAGGCTAGGGATTTTGAGTGTTCCAATTTTGTTTTTTTAGAATAGCACAAGAAACAAGACTGGTGCCAGCATTGTCCAGGACCAGTATGATTAAGCCCGACCGGGCAGGTGCCTTCAGCTTCTCTCGCCAATGGTTGTGTCTGCTGTCTTTTTGGTATATCAGTGTATGCCTTCATGCCTTTGCCCATGTAATTCTCTCTCGGTCCCTGCTTCTCGGTGCATGCACTCGCATTTTGTGCATCTAAAACACAGTAGCACTGGTAGTAGTAGTCGTCGTCGTAGTGGTAGTGGTAGTGGTAGTGGTAGTAGTAGGAGGAGGAGGAGGAGGAGCAGGAGGAGGCGGAGGAGGAGTAGTAGCAGTGGTAGTAATTAGTCAAACCATGTGTTTGTTTTGATTTTTGTTTTCAAGCGCCGCCGTTGTCTATGGGCAGCCGAGGGGTGCATTTGTGCAATTGAAGGGTGGCGGTTGTAGACTCTGCCGGATCTGCTGACCTCTCTTCAAGCAGCCGGTGGCCCTTCAGAACAGGCAACTAACCCTTCAGTTCACTCGGAACCCTGGTTTGTACGCATCGGTTCCAGTGCACCAACGCATGCATACGTACATGCCGACATGCATAGAGACATACAGACTTGTAGACTGTCGAGTAGGATCTGCATCATCGTCATCATCAGCAGCAGCAGCAGCGGCGTCGGCGATCGTACATACAGCGCCAGTCTTGGCAATCAGATAATCATCATGATGTCTGCGGCGACACGGCGACAGTTGCATGCACATGAGAATGGCCGTAATATAGATCACTGTTCTCATTCCGCTACAGGCTACAATCACGCCGCAACGACAATGACACTGCGGAGAAGTCATGCTTTGTCGTGTGTGTTTGTGCAGCAGCTGAGCGACGATTGCTGCATAATACTCAGGAATGATGTGTACTTCTCGAACAGCAAATCCAAGTGGGCGTGCGAAGCTCAGCAACAACAACTAAGAGGCACAGTTTGGTGCAAAAGGATGACACTCCGTCTCTGCACGCTTGGTCGACCAAGGTGTCTCGTCCGATGCGTGTGGGGAGCTCGTTGGTCTTTTGGGTTTAGGGTTTAGGGTTTAGGGTTTAGGGTTTAGGGTTTAGGGCGAGGGTTGAAGCTTCCCTGTATTGAGGCGATGCTTCTGTTGCTGTTGTCGCGGACGCCAGCGCGACTGATGCTTGCGAAAGTAGTCGATACTTCCATCGAAACCCTAAACCCTTGATGCTCTCTGTAGCGGCTTTATGAAAGAGAAAGCAGATGTTAGCCTAGCGAGACATATCATGCGATATCGTAGGGAGACGGTTTAGCTGCCGGTGATCCTCTCCAAGAGAGGTGAAAAGACCTGGGCAGTTGCATCAAGCATGCGAATTGGTCAGTTCAAGTCGTTTAAGTCTGTGAAGTCACAGACGTTGTCCCAAGCACCACCATAAGCAGAGCAGTTATACGGTAAAGGCATCGAGATCCTTGCAATATCACCTCAGGACCCTAAACCCTAAACCCTAAACCGAGAGACCCCGGGTTGCTGAAAACGGTGCCATTTGCATTCTCGCCGAATGCTCGCAAGACGTTTCACGCAGATTGGTGAGGCCAAGCAAAAGATTCGGGTCATTCCGCCGCTCTTGCACGAATCTAGCGTGATTGAGGTCATCGAAGCAAATTGCCAACAGCTGGGTGATGTGGATACTGCAAACAAGGGCCTGTACATCATTACTGTTGCTAGAATCACCATCACTATCAAGATCGTCATAATAATAATAATCATCATCATCATCATCATCATCGGGAACTGCCGCCACAGACCCCAAAAGGGAGCGAAGGCTGCAACGGGACGCCGCTGGCCCAAGAAAGGAGCTCCACCTGTGAAGTTGTTGGGCGGATTCCCGGTCACCGAGATCCTTGGGAGAAAGTATTCGGGTTTAGCGGTTTAGGGGTTTGGGGTTTAGGGGTGTAGGGTGTAGGGTTTAGGGGTTTGGGGGTTTGGGGTTTAGGGGTGTAGGGTTTAGGGTTTAGGGGTTTAGGGGTTTGGGGTTAAGGGGTTTAGGGGTTTAGGGGTTTGGGGTTTAGGGTTTAGGACGCGAGTTTTCAAGGTCATGGCAGGTTTTTTTGCTTTGCCGCGGACCTTCGTGATAAAGAGACTAAGGCAATGATGCGGCTCAGATCGAGATTGGGCTCCTTGTCTTTGACTCTAGCCGCCAGCCTTGGAGCAAGCACATGGAGACGCAGAGATACAGACGTGACGACTTGGCGAACTCCTTGATTGCCTCATATCGAACATGCATGCTCGCGACGGATTCGGATTTGCTATACTGACTACTTGTTCAAGCAAACTCATGCCTAGTCTTTCCTCGCCACTGCGCTGCTACACAGACCCGCCAAGTCGGCCAAGCTTCCTAGGGCTTAGGGGCCTGCTGTTGTCAAAGTCGAAGGTGTAATTTGTGGACTCGTGGCGCTGACGTTTTTCCAGGCGCTGTCTTTGCATGGAGGACTGGCATGGGGTCGAGCCAAACACCTAAACCTCAAGCCCCTCTGAGCACCTCAGGTTACTACCGACCCATGCAGCTACGGCCCTAATCCCTAAACCCTAATCCCGAAACCCTAATCCCGAAACCCTAAACCCTGAACCCTAAACCCTAAACCTTGAAAGCCTCAAATCTCGTACCCATCCCCCCGGAATCGGAGAGAATGGCGCCGGCTCCC